GCGCGCGCCGCCTGCTCCACGGGGCCTGCGCAAGGGCGAGGGATGCGGGTTACACACGCAGGAAGGTTTCGCTCCTTTGCCAAGTTTCACACTGGCAGGAGCTGGAGCAAACCCAGCCAGCAGCGAGGAGCAAAACCCGCCTGGCACCTCCTCAGCTCCCAAGGGCCTGAGCCCTCAGGCCAGCCCTGCTCCACCTGGACGTGCCAAGGGAAATCGGTGTCTCTTCTCCAGCCCACATGTTCTGCAAGCCCCAACCCCTTCTGCATGAGGGCTTTCCCAGAGACGGGACCTCCCTCAAGAAGCTTTTGTGAAGTCCAGAGTGAGCCCCAGCCGGGACGGCACCTACCCACAGTGAGGGAGCAGGAGAGCCCCGGCAGCTCCCCACGTCTCACCTAGGCTGCTGAGCAGGTCGTTCAGGGTCTCGATGTCCGCGAGCAGCGAGCCCCGGGCTTCCTGGAGACTTTTTGACATCTGATTTGCCTCTGTCCTCACCTTCCAACACAGACACCCCAATCAGGCACCCTGGGGACCACTGGTTGGCTAGGAGAAGGGATCCCAGGAACATCCAAGGCATCTCCCCCACGGCACAGTCCCAAAGCCAAGCCCATCGTGGCTTTGGCTGGAAACAGGAGAACACAACCTGTGCAAAGGGACCTGGCTCACCTGGTCTGCTTCCTCCAGGTCCCCCCTGAGCTTCCCAGCTACATGCTCCTGCCTGGAGAGCTCCTGCCAGGTCTCGTTGGCGCGCGTGGCAAGCTCGCCAGCCTGCTTGCGGGTCTGCTTGCTCTCCTGTAGCACAGCCTGTGCCCTCTGCAAAGGGATGGACATGGGGAGCATCATCTGGGGGCACGCAAGAGGACTGCGGCTGGGCCTGCCACAAGCCTGGGGTGGCAAAGGGAGCAGGGAAGGGGCAGCAGTGTCACAGGGCAGAATCAGGACTGCTTTGGAGGAGAAGGGATGTAGAAGGGCCTTCAAAAACCCTTTGGGAAGGCAAGCTGGGCTCTGTTGGGGGCAGCAAATGTATCTGGAGAGCTCCAAGGCTCTGCAAGAGATTGGGTTCTGCTTTGAGGACTGCCCTGGCATGGGCTCCCTGCACCCCGCAACCCCTCGCTCAGACCTCAGCACTCTCGACAGCAACTTGCTCAGCCTCCCTGGCCGTCTTCCTGGCCGTGGTGGAGATGGACAAGGAGTTTCCCAGCATCTTCTCTGCCTGTTTAGTCTTCCTCTGGGCCTCCACCATGGTCCTGTCCCGCACAAGCGCCATCCTCCTGCTCAGGGCAGCCTGGCCCTTTCGATGCCTCAGCACCTTCCTCATGCCTGCAGGGACAAACCTGTGATTGCCACCATGGGTCTGTCTCCCCTGGGGTACTCAGAGGTGCATTGATCTCTGGGAGCAGAGAGAGAGGCAGGGAAGGATCATCCCTTGGCCATTTCCACCCTTGGGGAGCTATGGAGTGCCACAGGCTCGCCAGGGATACCAAAGCAGCATTGGCATAAACCCCACCTGGAAGGTGGCAAGAGCTGAACTCTGCTGGGGAAATGCTCTCGATGGTGCTTTTTTACCTTCCAAGCTGGCCAGGATGGACTCTGCATCAGAGAGCACAGCTTTGCCGTGTGACACTGCTGAGGTGGCCCCGACGTGGGCAGAGGTGGCCCTGTCCCGTAGCTGCGGAAACGAGAGCAGGGATGAGGCTGGGGATGGAATGAAGAGCTGTGCCCAACTGTGAAATGTGGGAATGAAAGAGCTGGGAGACACATAAATGTGGAAGATGTCCCTCCAAGCTGCTCATTCTCCCAGGGAGCTGCTGGAGCTCCCCCATTTCCCTGTGCCCAGCATGGGAGGCAGGAGAGGCTCTGTGCCTGAAATTCCAGCTAGCAGAGAGCATCCCCACCGCGTGTTCCACAGGGATGCTCCGCACGGACAAGCAGCGATTCTCCCAGGGCCTCACCTGCTCCAAGGCGCGAGTCCCCTGCAGCTCCCGGCGCGGCTCGGCACCCACGGCCGGCG